TATTATTTGTCTTTTCGTGACTGGCTTCTTTCACTTAGCATAATGTGTTCAAGGGTCATCCACGTTGAAGTGTATATCACTACTTCATTCCTTTGTATGGCTGAGTAATATTCCATTGTGTGTATGTACTACGTTGTGTTTATCCATTCATCTATTTTTTTTAATTTTTTTAATGTTTTATTTATTTTTGAGACAGAGAGAGACAGAGCATGGACAGGGGAGGGGCAGAGAGAGAGGGAGACACGCAATCCGAAACAGGCTGCAGGCTCCAAGCTGTCAGCACAGAGCCCGATGCAGGGCTCGAACTCACGAACCGCGAAATCATGACCTGAGCTGAAGTCGGACGCCCAACCGACTGAGCCACCCAGGCGCCCCTCCATTCATCTATTGATGGACGCTTGGTTTGTTTCCACCTTTTGCCTATTGTGAATAATTCCACTATGAACTTTGATCTACAAATCCTATTGGGAGTTCCTTTCGATTCTTTTGTATATATGGCTAGGGATAGAAGTGTTTAACTTTTTGAGAAACTGCCAAACTGTCTTCCACAGCAGCTGTACCATTTTACATCCCCACCAGTGGGGCATGAAGACTCCAATTTCTCCACATCCTCATCAACATTCGTTATTTCTCATTTTTGAAAATAAAAAATGTGTGTGAAGTTATATCTCATTGTGGTCTAGATTCGGATTTCCCAAATGATTAATGATGCTGAGCTTCTTTTTATGTGTATATCATCTTTGAAGAATGTCTATTCAAGTCTCTTGTCCATTTTTGAATTGGGTTGTTTATTTTCTTGTTGTTGAGTTATAAGGGTTTTTTATATTTTTTGAATATTTTTGAATATATTTTGAATTTTACCAGATACATGACTTGTAGATATTTTCACCCATTCTGTGGGATTTTTTCATTCCCTTGATTGTGCCCTTTGCCGGACAAAAATTTTTTTTTTTTTTAAATTTTTTTTTCAACGTTTATTTATTTTTGGGACAGAGAGAGACAGAGCATGAACGGGGGAGGGGCAGAGAGAGAGGGAGACACAGAATCGGAAACAGGCTCCAGGCTCTGAGCCATCAGCCCAGAGCCTGACGCGGGGCTTGAACTCACAGACCGCGAGATCGTGACCTGGCTGAAGTCGGACGCTCAACCGACTGCGCCACCCAGGCGCCCCCAAAATTTTTTAATTTTAGTAATATCCAATGTATTTATTTTTGTTCCCTGTGCATTTAGTGTTGTATTTAAGACATCATTGTGAAATCCAAGGTAATGAAGATTTTCCCTTATGTTTTCCACTAAGAGTTTTATAGTCTTAGCTCTTAAATTTAGGTCTTTATCTATTTGAATTAAGTTTTGTATATGGTGTAAGGGTCCAACTTCGTATTTTGCTTGTGGAAGTCTAGTTTTTCCAGCAGCGTTCATAGAAAAGACTGTCTTTTACCCATTGAATGGTCTTGCCAGAGTTGTCAAAAATCAATAGACCATACATGCATGGGTTTATTTCTGGGCTCTCTATTCTATTTCATTGGTCCAGATGTGTATATTTATGCCAGTCCCACATTGTTTTGATTATTGTGGCTTTGTAGTAAGTTTTAAACTTAGGAAGTGTGAGGTCTCTAACTCTTTTCCCCCGATATTCTTTTGATTCTTCAAGGTTCCCCTGAAATTCCATATGAATTTTAATATGGATTTTTGTGTTTTTGAAAAAAAAATGCCATTGGGATTTTTATAAGGATTTCATTGAATTTATGTATTACTTTGGGCAGTATTGTCATTTTAACAAATTAAGTCTTCTAATCCATGAACACAAGACATATTTTCCTTTCTTTAGATCGTTAATTTCTTTCAGTAATGTTTTGCAGTTTTGTTTTGTGTTTTTTTTTGTAAAAGTCTTTCACCTCCTTGTTTAAATTTTTTCAAAACGTCTTATTTACTATTGTAAGTGGATGAAATGGTTTTCTTAATTTTATTTTTTTCAATGTTCATTTATTTAGAGAGATGGAGAACATGAGTAGGGGAGGGGCAGAGAGAGAGGAAGAGAGAGAATCCCAAGCAGGCACCATGCTCAGCACAGCGCCCAACTCAGGGCTTGATCTCATGACCGTGAGAACACAAACTGAGCTGAAATCAAGAGTGGGTCGCTCAACTGACTGAGCCACCCAGGCACCCCATAATTTCTTTGCAGATTGTTTAATTTTTAATGTACAAAAAAACCAACATATTTTTGCATGTCAATTTTTATCCTGCAATTTTGTTTAAGTGTTTATGAACCTTAGTAGTGTGTGTGTGTGTGTGTGTGTGTGTGTGTGTGTGTGTATTCTTTAGGGTTTTCTGCAAATAAGATCATGTCATCTACCAACAGATAATTTTACTTTTTCCTTTCCAAACTGGGTGCTTTTTATTTCTTTTCCTGCCTCATTATTCCGGCTAGAACTTCTAGTACTACACTGAATAGAAGTGGCGAAAGCGGACATCTGTCTTGTTCCTCATCTTAGGAGAAAAACTTCCAGTCTTCACCACTGAGCATGATGTTCACTGTGGGTTTTTCATTTGTGGCCTTTATCATGTTAAGAAAGTGCCCTTCTAGTCTTAGCATATCGAGCGTTTTTGTCTTGAAAGGGTGTTCAAATTCGTCACATGCATTTTCAGCATCAGTTGAGATTATCATGTGTGCTTTTTTCTTCACCTATTGAAACCCAAAATTTTGTATATTTTGTTTGGGTCTCCTATTTTTTTAAAAAGATTCTTTTTTCTTTAAATGTTCATTTATCTTTGAGAGAGTGAGAGAGCACAAGTGGGGGAAGGGCAGAGAGAGAGAGAGAGAGAGACAGAGGATCTGAAGTGGGCTCTGCCCGGACAGTGGCAAGCCTGAATGTGGGGTTCCAACTCAAGAACTGCAAGATCATGACCTGAGCCAAAGTCAGATGCTCAACGACTGAGCCACCCAGGAGCTCCTGGATGTCCTGTTGTTAGGGCAGAAGGAGGGTAAACTCGTCTCTGCTACTCTGATTTGGCTGCAAGCAGAAGTTTTCAAATACGTTAAAAAAAAATCTCTCCATGTGAATACAAATAGATTATTTCATCCTTTTAATAGTATTTTAATAGTATTTAATAATATGTTCTATAGTCTTCTACTATATGAACAGATCACATTTTCTCTTGCTATTCCATTATCATTGGACATTTGTGTTGTTATCTGGTTTTTACTATGTAATACTTTTCTCTGGGGCAAATATTCAGAAATGGAGCTTCTGGTTTTTGAGTATGTTTATGCACAGATTTAAAAGATCAGGACATCTGGGTGGCTCAGTTGGTTATGTGTCCAACTCTTGATTTCAGCTCAGGTCATGATTTCACTGTGGTGAGACGGAATCCCAGGTGAACTCTTTGCTGGGGTGGAACCTGCTTAAGAATCTCTCTCTCTCTCTCTCTCTCTCTCTCTCTGCCCCTCCCCAATTCGAACACATGCTCTTTCTTTCTCTCAAAAATAAATAAATAAACTTTAAAAACCAGAGGATCATATCAAATTCTTTTCAAAATGGGTGCACCAATGTTCACTCGATCTGCAAAGTATGAGTATCAGCTGCCCACATTATTTTGCAAATATCACATTAGCCATTAACATTTTAGGCAATGTGGTTGGTGGAAAAGGGCAGCTCGTTATTATTTTAATTTTCATTTTCTTGAGTATTAGTGATGTTGAGCATCCCCACATCTGTTTATTGGTCCTGTAATTTACTTATTTTTCTGAATTGCCTGCTTATATCTTTGGCTCACTTTTCGATTGGGTTGTTTTTCTCCTTACTGTTGATTTGTAGACTTTTTAAATGTTTTTGACATTTGTCATTATTGGTCACAAATATTTCTTTAGGTATGCAGCTTGCTTGCAGTTTTATTTGTGGTGTCCTTTCTGGAACATACATTTTTTTTAAAATGTAGATGTCATCAAACTTATTAATCCTTTCTTTGTGGTTTTTATTTTTTATATAAGAAAGTTGTCTTTCTTCTGAGGTCATAAAAATAGATTTCCATTCTTGGGGGAAAAATCTTACTTTTTTTTTTATAGTTAGGACTTTAAACATTGTAGAATCTATATTTCGTAAATGTGAGCTAGAGAGTTAATCTTATTTTTTCCATACAAAGAAAGAAAGAATTGATTGTTCTAACCTTATTTGCTACTACATGCTGCTATTAGTGACTATCCCCCTGTGAGCTAGGCTCTGTGTAAGGTAATTTATATGCCTTTTCTTGTTTCTTTTCTTGTCGAGCCTAGCTTGACCCTAAAGAGGGTATCATGCCCCTTTTCCAGGTGGGGAAACTGAGGCTCAAAAAGGTTACATAACTTGCCCACGGTCACACAGCTGGCAAGTGGCGGAGGCAGAATTTGAGCCTGAGTAGATACAGAGATAGTTAAAGATGGGAGTTCAGTGACCTTGGTCTATTCAGAAGGACAATGGGCTCGGGAGATCCTTGGATCAGGGTTTCTCAACCTCAGTTCCGTTGACTTTTTTTTTTCTAATTTTTTAAAATGTTTACTTATTTATGAGAGAGAGAGAGAGAAAACGAGGGTGAGCATGAGCTGGGGAGGGGCAGAGATAGAGGGGGACACAGGATCTGAAGCGGGCTGTGCGCTGACAGAGAGCTCTATATGGGGCTGGAATTCACAAACCGCAAGGTCACGACCTGAGCTGAAGTCGGACACTTAACCGACTGAGCTGCCCTGCTGGCCCCATTGACCTTTAAAACCAGATAATTTGTTGTATGGTCGTGGGGGTCACCCCGCGCATTGTAGGACGTTCACCGGCCTCT